TAATAAATTACCATAATTATTACCAACCAAATTATTAGAATAGGTTAGGTTAGGTTTGAACGTGCGTCCCCACTGTTTCCTTTCTTCTCTTTGCTGGAATCAGAGACGAGCCGCCATTTTACCCACCATAGGTAACATTATCCAATTGTGCAGTCTAAAGATTGGTGACACTTTGAATTTCATAGCAATTGGTTTCTGCGACAAGCACACCTATTTGTGGTACATTTATTTGTGGCAAAGATCTTATTTTCACTTTACCGAGTGCTTAGTAGGTATTGTGCGGATTACCTAGATACTCTGCAAATTATCTAGGTAATTTGAGAAATGAAACAATTTTCACAACCTTAACGGATCACACTAGTTAATCTGCAAATTAGCTAGGTAATCTGCAGATTAACGAGTTTCGAGCTTTAGCGGTAACATATATATGAATATGAATTCATAAGAATGAAAATATCATAATTACATTCATCCACAACTTCATCAATATTCAAGAATTATACATTTAAATAGCATATTATAAACATTTACAAACAACTTTTTAATTGCATTTAATTATAAATTAATATAAATAAATATATGGAAATGCCATATATTAAATAAAATAGTAAAAATTTTATTTAAAAAGTTGTGTTTTAATTTTTGTACATGTAGTGTGTTTACAATGTACTGTACATTGTACACGTATTGTAGTAAAATTTAAATGTATCATGTTTCGTAAGCTTTAATGACAATTTTTAAAAGAACAACAGATAAAAGCAATGAAAACCATTCTTAGTAATCACAGCATAGCATTTACAAGCAAAAATAAAACAAAAATAAATTTTGCTTTCAAAAAGTACTGTCTGATAAAGACTTACTAGTCTCAGTATTTAATAGTATATTAAAATAAACTGCAACGAGTTGCTCAACTTTCCTGGAAACATTTAAAATTTTGGTAGCACCATAGGTTGTCATATTTTATTAAAACACTTTTTATATTTTTAACGATTATAAAACAGATATACAAGACCCCCATTATCCCCAACTCCTCAACTTTTAATCACCAAAATTTAATAGCATCAATCCCACTAA